AGCCCTCCCGCTCCAGCAGGCCGCAGAGAATGGGGGTGGGAGAAGACTCCAAACCTCCCTCCACCCGCTCATTGTAGTGTTGATGCATGTGTTCTAAGGTGCAATTAAAACCCAGGAGGGCATGGAGCTACCTGCCAAGGAGCAGCAGGTAAGCGCATAGTCCCTCCTGATAGCCCTGTCTAAGTGTATTTAAAATAAGATGAATTTTAAATGTCCCAGAGTTGGGAATTAGCTGGGACTAAAGAGAAGGAAAAGAAAGTGACTAAAAGGAAAATGGGAAAGATGAACCACTTTGTAAATTGTTACAGTTCTTTTTTAGTGTATAGCCTTGAATGCCATTATTTTTTGTAATGTTGGAAGAATAAAGAAGAGATTCAAGTACCGTCCCAGGGTTTCTCTATGAATTTCACGTTCTCGTGGCAGCATGCTAAGTGCTTGTTCAGATTGAAGTTTAATTTTTCACTGTAGAAAGAAGTTTTCTTCCCATGCAGTGTGTACAGCAGACGCTAATGTTTTTGTCACTTTTTACAGAATCAAACTTAACTTAATGTCAGTACTTCCAAGCTTTAAACGCTGCATGGTCGCACTCTCTCTCACACCCCATATTATCCTTCATTGATCTACACAAGTCTGGTGCTGCCATGGATGTCGCATGTTCGAACGCCATTGTCATGAGACAATCTAACAAACAAAATCACGGTTTAGTAATGCAGGAACACACTAATTCCAAAGCTTTTTTGCAATAGTATTGCAAAAAATTTGATTTTTAACACACTCTAGGGGTTACAATATTTTGGTACAGGTGTTGATTGATTAGAACCATGTGCTGGTATTTAATCATGACTGATGTGCATTTGTCAGACCCCAATAAGGACTCAGTACTGATTCAATAAAAGTAAAATAGGCAAAAGTTAAAATATCAATACTACAGTCTTAATATCAGGAGAGTAAATCAATATGCTTTCAGTAAAAAGTCAATACAAATGGATCTGTTTGCTCCAGAAATGAATTTTTGTGTGATTTCATCCCACACAGAGTGACTCAGGAACTACTTTTTTATTTTAATCTGATTAATATTTCCAGAAAGTGAAAGTCAGTGAAATAGTGGATCTATTCATGATCTATTGCTCAAGTTATTGTGCATTGTGAAATGTCTTTTAAACAAGAGTGGTACTGCCCTTTGTGTACCACACCTCTTGTATTCAGGACAGCTTGGATAGGCTTCAAGTATGCTGCACCCATCATTATATTGGTGTGTGTCATGGATATCATACTATTCTCAATTGTCTTTTTATTCTATAGCTTCTCTATAAAAAAAAATACCATCAATGTAAGCCGATCTGACAAACACAACAACATTAAGTTACTTTAAGTCAGAATTTTCAAAAAAGGGATTCTGTGTAGAATAATAAAATGGTGAAAAATTCATTCAGTGCATTTTGGAATAAGGCTGTAACATGACAAAATGCGGAACAAATCAAATGATGTAAGTACTTTTCCGATGCACTGTAAGTTCATGTGATGGTGTCATTCTAAAAATGTTGTATTGTAAATTTTAAATGCTTCACTATTCTTAATTTGAAAATTATCTACAAAAAATGTACGTCATCAGAGAGACAGGCCAGAGAATGTTCCTTTCAATGTTTTTTTTTAAAAAGAGGTGAAGCTCCTCCAG